CATATGCTCCTGTCATCCTCACACGGCTCTCACAGCAACCTGAGCCATCACAATCAGCTCAGGGAGCCTCAGTGTGACTGGAAAGGTAGGATTGCTCCTTTCCCAGCWGTGCATCACTCCACATTTCCACACATGAAGCATCCTGTGCCATCCAACCCTGCGGATGTTCTGTTTCGCACAATCCATCGGAGCCGCTGCCTCATATTTTCACTGCCGCAGAAATTCTGTGTCACCAGTGGGTTTTACCCTCTCACCTCCTCTTTCAGATGGTTTATGAGTCTGTTTAGATGCAGAAGTCTCAGCATAACTCTCTGCAGGAGTCTCCTCATGCCTCTCTCCTCAGTGAGAACCCTCTGTTTTTTGTCCCATTTTTATCCGGGAGAAAACACCCCTGTCTGCTCTGTGACATCTTAGTTTCCGAGATCCTTATACTCTTCAAAACACTCTTCAAAAATTTTTCCACAGCTCATTGYTCTGAAGAGCCAGAGGGCTTTTCTCAGCATCTCTCCTAATTCCACCATCTCCTTTTCAGCTCAGGGCAGCCAGAATGACACAAAGTGATGTGGGCACAGGAGCAGCGGGGACTGGGGCTGTATCACAATGATGTTTTCTCCTTTGTACTCCTTTCCTAAAAACTACTGAAACCGACTTGCCTTTTTGTCACTTTGAATGTCCAGCTGGCACATCCAAACTGATGGAAAGCTGTGTGAGTGACAGTAGCTAATTTGCAGCCCATGCTGGTGATTATTATTAACACTTTAGTTATTCTTTCTCCATGCACTTTGCTCTGTACTTCATTTGCCATTTATCACCCAGTCAGTTTTGTAAGGTATTTCCACCACGGTTCAGCTAGCTGCACTTTTTAAAAAATATGAAAAATAATTCTGAATCATCAGCCTAGTCATCACTTCATTAATCACCAAGTGTTCCTGATCATTTATGAGCATGTTGAACAAAAATCCTCTCCTTTCCCAACATTTGTCTCCTGGATGAAAAGAAGTCATTTGTTTACCTCTTTGTGATTTTACTYTCCTGAAGTCTTTTTCTTTTTTCTATCTTCTTTATTTGACTTTGAAAAAAAAGTTCCTTTTTTTTTTTCTTCCAGTAGCTTCCTGTACTCTCTCATTTAATTATTCTGGGTCTCTATGTGTGCCTGAGGACATCCTTTTCATTTTTTTTTTTGTTCTACGGTAAATATTTACTGGGTTTTTCATATTGTGCCTTTCAGTAGYACCCTGCTGTTTGCCAGCATTTCACACATTTTACTCTTCCTTTCTGCTCAATTTAATAAATCTTCTTGGTTTATGTTTCCCTTTTTAGAAGGTAAGAGGTCAGGATTTGGACTGTGGTGTTGTAAACTGGAATGCATCACAGCCATTATCACAAAAAGACCTTTTAAAGGTCACATCTTGAATCAGATTTTCTGCATTTCTCCGGAGTTTTTTCCCTTCTCTGTGTCACTACAAATCTGATGGGGCCTAGAAAGGAAACAAAATGTGGATTTCTCTGCTTTGCTGGCTCCAGCCAGCATGTCCTTTTCTCCACATGCTCCTTCCCACCTCATCTAGAGAACAAGAACCATTTTCTGATGTTATTTTGGTGCCCACAAAAAAAAATGGTGGCAGCACCATTATCATGGACTTGGAGATCCCAGAAGCATTAGGGAAAAATTCAGGCTCAGACCTGTATTTCTGAACTGGCCCTGTGCTTTGCAGTCACAAAATCTCTTTTGTAGTGTATTGGATGCTGCAATTCAGGCTTTTAGGTCTGACTCAACTCTTAGTTATACATTTGATTAACTTTGGTAATTAAATCTTTCTTTTCACCTCAGGCTAGGACAGAGAAATGTGACAAAAGTCCACTTCCAGCACTGTCTGTGGTTTGTAAAAATGACACATTCTTTTACAAAACTCCCCTGAAGGAGTTTGAACACACAAGGTTCRAGCTGATTTTGACAATTGCATTAACACACCTCTGATAGGGATCTTTATCAAAACCATGGATCTCAGGGGTTAMTTTGAACTGTCCATTTCCAGGATTAAAATGTAGGGTTTTCTCTGGTTTTTGACCCCACAGTGTTACCTGACAGACAGATGATAGAAATTGTCCTGGTTTGAGGAATTTCATGTGCCAACTCATGCTTTCGTGGGCCTTGCACAACTGGAAGGAGCAAACTGCAGAAACTCCTCTCTTTTGTCACTGATTTTTTTTTTCTGTTACCATGATTTATTTCAGAGAGCACTCAAAACTTGGAATTTACTTTGCAGGCTCACAAGCAGYGCTGTTGGCCCAGTGACAGATTTCTCATGTCAGCATCCAAACTAAGATATACCACAAAAAAAAAAAAWTCCCTTTAGGGTSAAACCCCTCCTTTTAGGACAAAAATCAAAGTCATACTGTTTGCTGGTTATTTTAAGTGAGAAGAGACAGAAAAAAAAAAAGTGCCCAAACTTCAAAAATTCTGAATTAGGGAAATAAAGAGTTGCAGCCTGTTGCAAGATCCGATACCAGCCGTGGTGATTTCTCCATGTCCTTGCTGGGAAGGAGATGAGAGCACCACAGTGCAAGTAAAAAGGACCAGGGGAGGATGATGAGGGAGGATGATGAGGGAGGATGATGAGGRAGGACAYTGGAYAGGAGGAAGGARCTCTCCCWGCCCTTTCTGCCAATGTTTGCTTGCCGAGCCCGTGCGCCCTGCAAAATCCTCACCAAAATCTTCAGGGAGGCGCCGGCCTCACAGAAGGAAACACATTTACAGGGAAACCCCAGATAATTTTCAAGGCTTTGCTTTATAAACATATTAAAGACCTTAAAGTAATCCCCTGGCATGGAGCCGCAGCTGATTTCTCGCGGTGTGTTTGCTTTACGATGCCAATCAAACGCTCTTTCCGCAGCGGGAGCTCGGGGGTAGATTTGCCTTTGTGCCCGCAGCTGGGATCGGGCCCAAGAGGTGACAGCCAGCAGATAAGGGCTTGATTAATGCCCAGAAAGGAGCAGGAGCCACAAATGTTATCTGCAGTTTCACCTGACTCAGTGATGGGCCGATAATCTGTTGAGAATTTCGTGGAGGTAGGAAAGCAGCGTGGTCCCATGTAGGATCATTGCTTTCCTCTCGTGCGCTGGCAAATCTCACCCCCTGCTCCCCCAGAAGAAAAAAMTTATTTTTCTGTGATGGATAGAGATGGAAAATCTACCAATTGGCCTTTCTGGACCGGCATCATGGTGGACCATTGCATGTAAAAGCAGAACTGGATTTTTTAAAGTTTTTATTCCAATGTTTTCTCTGAGTGATGGAAGCAAAAATTGTGATATGAGCTGTGATATGAGGGATGGAGCACAGCCCTCATCTGCCTGCAGCCTGGTATCTTGTGAAATAGAGGAGGATACACAAAATATTTAATTTATGAATTGTGACTTTCCATGAGAAATGTCATCCAGGTCTTAAACAGGGATGGATATAAATAAAGTCCATAAAGTATTAAAGAGGTAACCTTTAGGAAAAAGAACCCTATTATTTTTTTCCCTTGTAGAATAAAATCCTTCCCACTTTGTTGGAAATACTTTCCAACAAATAAACTTCCTGCAAACCACAACGGTAGAAGCTAAAAGTTCTCACTTGAAGCTTTGTGATGGAAAGATGCAAAAAACAAACTTATATATAAAATTCAAAAGCAAGAAGACATGATTCTGTCAAAGGTCAAAAAAGTGCCTTGAATCTGTTTTTTGGTGGTGAACAGGAAGAGTTACCTGGTGCTTTCCCCATGGGAAAAGTGATGCTGCAGAGCACCAAAGGGGCTGCAGCCAACCCTGCTCTGCAGGTACAAAGATGGTCTCACCCTCACWCTGAGCCTCTCCCTCTCCCTGGCACTGCTCTGGTTCTGTTTAACAGTTGAGAAGTAGCTGGAAGTTAAGAAATCTTACMGTAAATGGTAGAAAAATGTCCAAAAGGGAGATTGAAACTTTCAGCAGTCCAAGYCCSAAGGCCTGTTGTCCCAAAACAGCCCAAGGGCTGCCCTTGATGCCACTAAAATCAAAAAACAGGGAGAAAAGCAGTCCAGAAACTCTCCTTCCTTCTCTGGAGTCTCTGTGCTGTGGATTCTCTTGGGCTTTTGGTTTGTTTTTTTTTTTTTTTTTTCCCTGATCTCACCTTCTTTTCCTAAATACCCTGAGTGGAAACCAACAGTGGCCTTAGATGGGCTCAGTATTTCCCTGTCACACCTTCCACTTTCTGTGTTTATGTCCTTTTTGTTTATGTCTTTCACCGTTGTCTCCTGAAGCTTGGAGGTGTCACACCTCCAGCCCTCCTCCCTTTCCTGGTTCAGAGTAAGCACAACCAAAACCTTAAGACTAAGGGAAAATTGAGGCAGAAAAGATACACCTGGATATAAATTTTCTGTAATGACTGGAAAATAAAACTGCCCAGAAGTCTGAAATTTTCTAATGGGAATGAAATCAGCTGGCACCCAGAGCACCCAGAGCACCCAGAGCACCCAGAGCCAGAGTTTCTGGCACCCAGAGCACCCAGAGCCAGAGTTTCTGGCACCCAGAACACCCAGAGCCAGAGTTTCTGGCACCCAGAACACCCAGAGCCAGAGTTTCTGGCACCCAGAACACCCAGAGCCAGAGTTTCTGGCACCCAGAGCACCCAGAGCCAGAGTTTCTGGCACCCAGAACACCCAGAGCCAGAGTTTCTGGCACCCAGAACACCCAGAGGCACCCAGAGCACCCAGCAGCATCCCTTTGATGGATTATGGGATCACGTAATCGATCTCTATCTATAGGTACGTAATAGATACGHGATCGATAGCCCATGGGAGACCAGAAATTTATCTCTGGGATATCAAAATATGCATGGCAGCACTTCCTAACCAAACAAAAGGAGACCCAGCCTCTGGGTGAAGCATCAGATGGAACAATGTTATCAGAGCCCGCTGGGCAAACATGGGGAGCACATAAAAGCTGCTGCTGCTGGGGAAAGCAGCACCTCTGCTGCTCCACGAGCCATGGATCTCAAGGTGGTCTGTGCTCTCGCCATCACCCTCCTCATAGCCCTCAGCACCCTGGCAGAGGGAATTGCACCTCCAAGTAAGTACACCCACCTCCTGTTGCCTTCCAGGGRCGTGTGGAACCGTGATCTGCAGCCAGAGCCTGTTGGCATTAACAGACAGCACAGCAAGTGGCTTTCTCTGCTGCTATTTATTCCCAAAGTGGAGCCTACTTTTTAAATTTTTCAGAGAGATCTGTAKCAAAATGAGAAAGATTGCAGGTAAACTCGCTTGTGTTGGTGGAATAACCAAGAACCCGCTGCAAAGGCGGAGGAGGTCGCTAGAGCAGGACCAGGGCTGGAGCAGGAGGCAGCTTTGTCTGAATTGTCTTCTGATGTTTGTTAAATGCTGCTTTGCCACGTGAATGCAGTTTTAAAGGAGTTTGTCTGCCTCCTCATTTAAAGAGAAGTCGTTTAGACAACTCCAGAAGTGGAAAGCCCATAACTCAATGACAGCTGGAGGACAGCTCCAGAATTTCTTGATTGTGCATGATTGTGTAACAGTTTTAAAATGCTAAAAGCACAGCTGCTTTTGCATATCATCATATATTTTACAATCACCTGACARGAATGCAAAGATTTTGTATTTTTATATCTGAATATCCACTTGAACCTTAAGTCTTTTCCTCTTCATGTGAGATGGGCAAAGTAGCAACATTTATTAGCATAATATTTGAAGTTCTTGGGATTCCCTACTTGGTGTGGTTGATTCGGAGCCCACAAACCCCACTGTGCTGAGCTGGCTTGGCTGCAAGTGAGAACCCCGACCCTCAAAGGGTCTGGGAGGAGTTTGGTGGGAGTTTAAAAGCAGSTTTTAAACAGCTCAGAGTGTGGTCTCGGCAGGGAACAGAAAAGATGGAAGTGTTTAGGAAAAGAGCTTTGTTCCCAGTGAGCATCTGATGAACGCCTCTCCRTAACAAGTATGCAAACTGACACCCTGTGACTTGCTCCTTCTGTCCTGAACAGCAAAATGCCAGTGTAAATTGGTTCCCAGGGAGAGGACAAACTGTGGCTACCCCGGGATTTCAGCAGTAGAGTGCAAGAAAATCGGGTGCTGCTTCAACGCTTCAGTCCCCGGCGTCCCCTGGTGCTACAATCCCAGAGCCAAGAAAGGTAATATCTCTGCCAGAAACACTGATTTACCTCATGTTTGGTTWTCCAGAAATCTGTACAACCAGGGAGCAGTTCTGCTTTTCTCCCCAGGCAAGAAAAGAAAAGGAAGTCTCAAACCTCTGTCAGGAGATCAGTGGAGATATAATTCGAAGTCAGGCCGTGCTTATTCATCAGATTTCTGCCTCATCCTCTTCACACAATGTATTATTTCCTCTCCCTYCAGGCTTCTGGTTATCAAACAACCCATGCTGATTATTTAGAGACATTTCACTGCCATTTGTGATCTTTTTTGGGGGTAGAGGAAGGGATCCTCAGCCTTTATTTAAATGGGTTTGCTACGTGGCTACTTGACATCTGCCAACGTCCTGCTTCTATTTTTTGCCACTATTTTCTCAGAGAGGATAACAGCTGCTCTCTCCCAGTCTTTCAAGGATTAGGTGTATATTTTACATAACTGTGTTAAGTAACTGAGTGTAATTAGCTGTGTTAATTAACTCAGTGTAAGCTACATTTGCTGGGCTGACAGCACAGCTCCTTCTTGGGGGAACTCCAGGGCAGCCTCAGCAGCTGCACAGGTGGCATGAAAGAAAATGAGGGTGCRGAGGCAATGTTATCCAACAGAAGAACTTGATATCACCTGAGATTAGTCAACAGGGATCAGATTTACAGGAGGAAAAAAGAGTTTTGCTTTTGAGCACTGTTTGCAATTGCAAATCTTGAAAAGTGAGCRGCAGCACCTTACGGTGCCATTTTCATAGAATTGCTTTTCTGAGTAGAACTGCTTCAGGAGAGSAGCACTGAAGTATTCAAGATGGGTAGTGCAACATCCTTACTTGTGATTTTTAGTTTAATTGCTAGAAAGAGATGAGATTTCCTCCTAAAAGCCTTATTTCCTTTCTGTAAGTTAATCTGGCGTGCAGAGAGGGCTGGGCTGTCCTCGCCCTGTGTTAGCCAGGCTGCTTTGGGGTTATGGGGTCAGGTCCTGGACATACCCTGGTGTGAGGCCAGTGCATGTGTCACCCCTGCAGGAGACACAGGAATCATCACCCCATTGCTGATCCAGGAAAGGTAAAGATGGGTCAGTGCCAGACACTTCCAGGGGTGAATTTTACCTCCTGTGGTCCCTGGGGTGCAGCAGCAATCCAYCACCCTTTGGAATTTAGTTTTGCCTCATAAGCTGGGTGAGGATTTGGGCGAATCTGCTGCCTGAAATTTGTTCAGAAGTCGTCATGGCTGTCACTTCTGCTCGGTGACCTCACTTTTGTGCCTTTTGTTTATGAGTTACATCATCAGCATTACAAAGTAACACATTCTCATTCCTTCCTCTGTTTTTTKCTCGCCTTACACAGTGAAGAAAGTGTGTCCCAATGAACCCTACACCAGGATAAACTGCGGCCACCCCGGCATCAAGGCCAGGGAGTGCCAAAAGAAGGGCTGCTGCTTCAGGGCACACCCCGCCGGTGTCCCCTGGTGCTTCTACCACCGCGTCATGGAGGAAGGTAATGACCCTCAGGACATGTCCCCTATGTCCCTACGGCTCCTGGCAGGGTCCCTGCTCTGCCTAGGCTTGGCGTGCTGTGCCAGACAGAGATTCCTAAGGGTGTTGGCAGGAAAAGGTGGCTAAACCCTAAAAAAACCAGCTTCTTGTACAGAGAGGGGAGTGTTGCCAAAGCATCTGGAATTTGTGCGCAATGTGGCTGCACAGGTAACCTGGGCTCAGAAAATACCATAGGAGAGGTGCAGCCACCCAGCTCAGATCCACCTAATCAGCATGAGAGATAAAAAATTTTGCTTTAGAAATGTGGTATGAAACTCACAGAAATTTCTGATCCCCCTACCAAATTTTATTTTTGTTAGGGTTGACCTTTCAGCGTATTTAATAACCAGCTCAGCCACACTCTATTCTGTGCTGTGTACAATTCAACATAATTTGTTTTTTTTTTTTTTTAGTTAGGAAATACATCTACGTATGGTAATTGGTCAAAATAGCTAAAAAAGATATTTTTGGATGTCCTATATCTAAGCAAAACACTCCCTAGCATCTTGTGTGATTTATGGAGAAAACATGTSCCTTAATCTGCTTCTACTCTTTGCCTCCCCAGCTTGTTAAAGGAGAAACTTTCATCGAGAACTTTGCAATCTTTGGATCTACTCCAACGGAACGACAGACGGAGGTCCCAACTCAGACTTTTTATTTTGCAACAGCCACGATTTCTAGGCTGTTGGGTTTTGTTTTTTTTTTTTATCTGGGATTGACTCATTTCCGATGAAAACTCACTGGTAGCTTTTATTGTCTCAGTAGGCTAGCACCACACAAGTTTTCACTGTAATAAAAGAAATACGACACAATTTGTGAGGTGGTTTTTTTTTGGGGGGGGTTTTTTTTTTTTTTTTGTCTTTATTTCAAAACTGTGTATTTCTCCATTTCCCAGGGAATTTGGCATGTCAGCAACCTGCTGATGAGAGACTAGTGCTTCCAAAAGGAGCATGGCACACAGCTTTTTGTGTCAGTTACACTTCACATTTGCAAGCGACTGCTCAGATTTCTTGGCTGGCATCACACAGGCCACTCCTCCTTCTCAATGCTGGAAATACTCAGAGTCTGCCTTTACACAGATGTAGCTGTGGGTCTGGGGCTTTTTTCTCCCCTTAGGACACAGGGAAGAGTCCCTTTGTTAGCTGATTGCTGGCTTGGTCTGGCTAAACTGTCACAGCGCTGTAAAACCCTCCCCCTCGGAGGTTTGATTTATCCCAGCACACTTTGGTGATGAGTAACTTCATCCAGGCAGGTGAAAAATTGGTAATTCATAAACCCTTTCCAACTGGCTCAATAATAGGATTTGAAAGTGGTTGGATTGGGGTTGTAATGTGAGCAATAAACTGAGCAGCCTTCTGAAGGTCTTTGTTTCATGGAATCACAGAAAATGCTGAGTTGGGAGGGCACRATATCACCTCACAACCCAAAAACTCTGGTTTTGAAGCAAAGCATCCCCAACMGCCTGCTGAGCCACCAGGTCATGAAGCTGCTCTGAGCATTTGGGGTTATAAATCACAGTCAGGTGCTCACAGCACTAATAATTGTTACCTAAGGACCTGCCCTCGTCAGTAAATCCTAAGGGATGATGGCTATTCTGGGAATTTACGGGAGGTGAGCGCTTGAGGTCTCTCCAGGTAGACTGTTATCCACGCCCACGCAAATGAACTGGAAAAAAATTGCCTGGAATTCTCAAAATTAACATTTTTTGTGGGAAAATAAAGCAGGCAGGAACAGAGTGAAAGCCCCAGCTGCCAAGGRTTTGAAGATCACAGACAGAGTCAGGGTGGAGCAAGGTGAAATCCCAAAATAGGAGTGCACACCTAAGGAGTGGGCAGGACCTGCAGAGATGTGGCTGCAGGAGGAGGGAYCTTCCTCTCCTCCCTTTTGGGGTCACTCTGAGGGCTCCCCTCACCTGAGTCAGTGTCCATGGGCCTCATTTACAGGCTCAGAGAGAAAAAAGACTCAAATGAAGACTCACCCTTTGTACCTGCAGCCCTGCACACCCACACTGCCATGAAGCAAGTGCTAAATAAGCAAACAAAGTTTTAAGTATTTTGCTGGAGGTGAAAAAAATGAGGTCAGAGATGTGATTTTCATCAGCAAAGGTGCTACAGGAACCCATTTGTGTCAATTTGTGACACAAAGACTGTGTGCTGATGAGGCCATTATGCTGCAAACAATGTTGAAAATCCAAAATACCCAACARTCCCAAACTGCAACCACGGCAGCAGAGTGCCACCAAAGCCCCAGCTGCTAATAAAGGCTGGACAGARCATGTTTGATGGATTGCAATGGTGCTTCAGAGAGTGGAGATCTTCTGCTGGCTTTTAAAGCAGTTGTAGCCAAGGAAAAGGCCTCAGAAATTGTTATTTTTGAAGGAATGCGGGGTTTGGCTGGCACAGAGAACTAACGGAGAAAATTAGGGCAGACAAGGAGCTCAGAGCACACGGGTGCTAGCAACAAAGAGCAAACCTGTAGCCATGTGMCCAAGGTATTTAATTGCAAACACCTCCAAAAGAGTGTTTTTTTGTAAAATTTGCCACTTCCTTCAGGTGCTGTTCCCAAAGGTCTCTGGATCCTGCTACAGTGTCACACACATCCTCCGGCAAAGCTCGAGTTTGAAAGGAAAGTTTCAGACAAGGTGCTAAACTGAAGTGAAAATGAATATGGAAACTGAAATCTTCCTGTGTTGAGAGCAGCTGAATCCCACAGTGCTGCCAYAGGTCTCTGTGAGTTTTTGGCTTTATTGAAAACTCAACCATGAGGGTGTTAAACAGCTTGGAGAACAGAAAATAAAGCACAAGAAGCTTTATTATTAATGTTAACACATGAAGTGTGTTAAACCCAGGCAGAATGAGGGTCTCCAGACCCAGATTAAGGTTCCAAGAAGTCTCTCTCACTGCCAGACTGAGCCCAAAAATGAGAACTCKCTGCTCTGGGGTGATGGATGCTAAATCTGAAGAGCAAAATGCAGGTGAGAGTCTCAGCAGCTCTCAGGTAATCTTTCCAAGCAGCAATCTGCCAGAAACAGAAGTCCCCTTTGGGCAGAACAGTCTATTATAACTCTGAGGGCTTCTTTTTCCTCATCTGAGTCTTCTTCTAGAGCATTTGCAAGCTGCCAAGTTGGTGTAGTACAGCGAGCTGCCCTCAGAGAGCACGGATATCCCTGCTCCAGGACACCCCACCAGGTACACAGCGGGATWCAGGAATTTCCTCAGTACCAGAAAAAATCAGCCAGCCAGCCAGMCTTTGGTGTAAAAAYACTTTTASAGTGCTGCAATGCAGAGTGCACTCAGGTTCTGGAACCAGCTGGGGAGCACTCACAGGTGCTGTGGAAGAGGATCTGCTGTGTCCCAGTATTTGCCCTCCTGGGGGTGCTCCTTCCCCTGCCACTCAATGGTAAAATTCCCATTTTTCACTCCATAAAATTTAATTTCATGTAACTTGCACTTGCCAGAGGTGGGCAGGGTAAGAAAACAAAGCACTTTTCTGTTGGGTACCAATGTTTCTGTTCACCTAGCTGTGATAATTTCCTTGTGATGTCCTTTTGCACACCCACTGTGACACCCAGAAATCCCCCTGGAGAAGCCACCGGACACAGACAGGTCTTCGAAGGGTCCTGCTCCCATCTGTCTCTGAGTTAGGACTCTCAGGTTCCCTTCAATGTGTGCTTCTCAGACCYTAACAGAAGGTTGTTTTGGTAAATAGCAGTTTTGAGGTATTAAAATACCACAAAKCAAAATGAGAATCTGAAAGTCTTGGATCAAAATATTTCACCACAGCTGAGCCAAATATCTTAACTGCTGAGCTTGTTGCAGAAATTCTAGGAAATTGTCAGGGATCTGACAACCAGAGTGGACTGACACTCCAGTCTGTGGTGTTTCCAGAAAGCTTCATTGCTTTTCAAAGTAAATTTGCCAAGTAAAATCCAGCTCCTTCCTGACACAGAATGAGATGCTCACTGATTCTTGCCCTTTTTGAGCCTTGGCATTATGCTCCATCCSAGGGATGCTTCACCAAGACACAGARCAYGATTTTCAACAAGCAGAAGGTGYAAAATCAAAATGTTTGCTGTCACTTTTGTTTCTTCTCTAAGTACTTTGGGGTCACTGCCTGACTCTCACACAGGAAAATGACAAAAAGCACCTTCTTGATGAAGCCACAAAATCCACTTCATATTTGACTCCAGAGATGCCATGGGGATAAGCAAGAAGGTTTTAGAAAGAGGTGGAGCTTTATTCCCAGCAGAGCAGAACAGGCAGTGGGACAGGAGAATGATTTTCCTAGAAAGAATTGGGGGTAAACTGCATTTCTGAGGGGTGTTTTTGCTGTCACAGGCTGACCATGGATCAGCTCCATGTTTTGATAATGTTTTCCYTCTGTGGAAGAGACAGTATTGATTTCTTCCTCAGCCTTCCCATGTGTGTGCAGGCACAGGCTTGGAGTTGGAACGTCAGGAATTTGGCAAAGCCACCAYGCAGAGCTTACAGTGCATGATAAAATCCACAGATCTTGAAAAGATCTTCAAGGCACAGAAAGTAAAAAAAAGACACAAAACCAAACGAGGCTATGAAATTTAAAATGCACTAAACAACACAAACGGATGCAATTAGTGTCAGTTTGACTAATCCAGCCCCTGACAGCTTCTCTGCCCTAAATGGAGCTGGCAACACTTCMTTCCAAGCCCTTCATGAATCTGTCCCCAGGGAAGATGTCAGAGCTGGTGACAGCTGACAGCACAGCACCTGCTCGCTGCTCACCTGGGCACTGCTCAGATCCCTCCTGTGCTCAACGAGCCCATCTCTCTTTCTCTGCCCACTTCCTTGGCTTTCCATGCCTTTCAGCCTGCTTTCCACAGCAGGATTTAAATGGACAGCTATTAAAAAATAAAGTTTCCTTTATTTTCACACACTCATTATTTTATGAATCCATTTGGAGTGCACGGTGGATGGTAATTGCGTGTGAGCTGCATTAATTTTTGCACTGTTGCTAATGAGAAGTTTATGGTTGGCTTATTTAATAGCATTAACTGCCATATGAAATGCTTAAAGTAATTCAGGTTGCCACTCAGGCTACGAAGGAATCCCATTCCTCCTCTTCCCTTCCTGATCTATGGACAACAGTTGGCACAGGGAGTGATCTAGTTTTTGGGAACAGGATTCCTTCAGCCTGGTTTTATTCCCAGGGCTATAAAATGTAACATAAAGGATGATCTCTGTTATCATGAGAAAACTGTCTTGAAAATGCCATAGGGTAATTCATCCTTTAAGCATCACTGCTCATGAGTTTATGAGAGGTCACCCAACTAACTTGTAAAAGTTGGGGCAGTTTTCTTTGAGCTGTGATTACCAAGAAAGGTCGTTCTGTTGCTTTTCTTCAGCTGGGGAGGAGGGAGGAAGAAACCCACAAATTCCAGAGTGCCAGGCAGAAGGCAAACAGGGAATGATCCTGTCCTGCCTCTTGTGATGCAGCAGCACASGGAACAGCTGCTGCCACTTGCAGGTGACAAGGACAAGAGGAACAGAAGATTAGTCTGTGAGAGAAAAATCCACCGATATTTGATTTAAATACAGAGGTAATTAATTCCACTGGTTCAGAAAGTCCTYCAGCTGTGTAGGGTTTACCAGAGAAGCACCCCCTGATGCCTGCCCTGTTTGGGTTGGAAGGAAMCTGAAATRTTAYCCAGTTCCACCCCAGGTAATGCTTTTAAGGATTTTTCCTGGTTATTTATGTAATGTATTTGGAGTTACCTGAAACCACCACAACCTGAAACAGACAATTCCAGGTCCTTGCTGGCTGCCAAAATCAAGGASCAGGCAGTGAAAACAACGCTACAACACACTTCCCTCAGAGTGACAACAGGTACAAAGCCATCTGTCTGAAAATAATAACACTTTATTGGATTTTTTTCTTTTTTTTTCGTGTGTGTGTGTGTGTTACATTATCATAAATGTTCTCTAGTCTCAGAAAACAAAGCCCTAAGTTTGGAAAATAATGCACATACAAATCTCTTCTTACAGGTAGTAAGTATACAGAAATATACAAAGATTTCTCTATGACTGTGATATATCTTCAGGAATGCCCCACATCCCACATTTTTACTCAGGCCCACAGTACCGGGAAGAGCGTAAACTACAAAGGTAACAAGCAGCCTGAAAAAGACATGGTTTGTATAATATAATTACATTATTTGTATATATATATATCTACAACAGTGCAAATATATCACAGYGTGCAGGCAGCGAGAGTCTCTAGAGAAGCAGAATAAAATTGATTCATGGTAATGCAAATGCATTACAGAAACAAGAGACAACAATGACATATTAGATATACAGAATATGCACACTTCAGCACGCTGATTTAAAATCATACCTTGCATTGACTCTTGCTTTGAAAATAAAAACAACGAAAGAACCAAATGTTAAATAATTCAGTAACAGGTTCAAGGGCAATATCTCACGATAAAGTCAGCTGATTCTGATAAGGTGTTGGATAAATCTTCACTGACACAGGTAAAGGCTTGGCTCCACTGCAGGACTTGTTATCTTCTTCTTTTAAGATATATCAGTGTAATCTTCTCAAATTTAACTTTCTTTTGCCATAATTAGAGGGAACTTTTCTATCTTTTTTTTTCAAAAACTGCTCAACAACTAATTTACAATTGTAAAGGTCGGTACARTCATCACTGAGGCCAGAAAAGCTGGTTTCTGGAAGTTACAGAATGGAGTTTGTATAATGATTACCTTAAATAAATCACTAAAATAAGCTACAATGGGGTCAGAAAAAAWGACATCACAGATGCCACTGAAGTAGAAAACCCCATCAACCTTTAAAGTCAMAACTTCCATATTGCCTTGCAATCTGCTTGAAAAGACATTTTTGAATTTTTTTCTTCGAAGAGTAAAGCCCACCCGGAGATCCAGCACACTGGGGTTTTGGTAGCTCAGAGAAGTCTCAAAGTCATCCCTTCACCTTTAACCATCCTGCACTGCTCCCAAGCAACTCGTTTTCACAGCCCACATGGACAGCAGCCGTGAATATACAGGAAAAAAGGACATAAGCAATTGGTTGGCATGGGCTGAACTGTGTGGAAGCCCCCAGGAAAAGAAAAAAAAAAAGGATCTGCAAAATCTGGATGTGTCTTGAAGGCATAACCAGTGCAGAGAATGCAGGCTGAGCCATGGCAGTGTCTGTGCCACAGGAAACACTTTTTGACTGGTTTTACTGTGCTGGCAATGGGTCCTAACAAATCTAAATCTCTTAAAGGAAGGTTCTACATTTGACAGCTGCATTAAATKATTATTCATTGTAAGATTTCAAAATAACAAAGAGACTGAAGTTAGATTTGTGSTCTRTSGTGCAATCACTCCTTCAGAAACTCYATGTGAAATAYGTACAGAAACAGAAATGAAGCATTAGACAGAATTTAAATGAAACTTGCTGTGCTTTCAGGCTCAATCTGAAACTTTCAGACGTGTGATATGAAGAATGATATGCAGGCTGACAAAAATCATTCAGTGGGGTGCACCACGACAACCTCTTTGTGTATTATGGGAATATAATTTATGTTATTATTTATATTATAATTTGTATTTAAGAGGAAGGCAGTAGGAGTTGATCCTTGGAAATTCTCCTGTCCCTACTGGCAGAGCTCCTGATTAATTTCAGCGCACTCAGTTCTTCATTTACACACTCACCAGTGCTGCGTGGCACCGCAGCCATCAGCTAGTCACAAACTCCATGTCATTTTCTGCCTATTCTAGCTCATGATTGTGCTTTCTAAATGGATCTCCACACTGAAATTCCTGAGCAATTGCACCCTATCAGGCTCTTCTGGTGGGAAATGAAGAATGGCATCCACTAAAGGATGGGGATTCTCCTTAGTGCTGTATTTACAGRGACATTTTTTGYTGYCTTTCACAGCAGTAGCCAGATTAGGTTCTAGTTTCTCCTTCTCTAGTTTTGTCCCTCTAATTTCTCCTTGCATGACCTCACCACACCGTTGTAGCCCTGCTGGGCTGCCTGCCYCTTCTTCCAAAGGTCACACACCCTCTTTTGTTYCCTGAGTTCCAGCCAAAGCTCTCTGCTCAGCCAGGCTGCTCCTTCTCCCCCTCTGGCTCATCCTTTGGCATGTGGGGATGGATGTTCTGCTCCTGCTGTGCCTTTAGGATTTCCTTCTTAAGGATCTCCAGCCTTCCTGGACCTCTCAGCCCTTCAGGGCTCCTCCCAAGGGGCTCTGCCTACCCAGCTCCCAAAGTCTGCCCTCCACAAGTCCAAGGTGGCAGTTCTGCTGGACCCCTCCATCTCCCCAAGAATAAAACCCCCTCATTCCACAGTGCCCAGGTGGGTCTCCAACCATCACATCACCCACCAGCCCTACTCTGCTCACAAACAGGTCCAGTGGGGCACCACTCCTGGTTCCCTCACCAGCTGGGTCAGGAATTACCTCCCACACACCCCAGGAACCTCCTGCACTCTCTCTTCTCTGCTGTGTTGTATTTCCAGCAGACATTTGGCAAGTTAAGGTCTCCCACAAGGACAAGGGCAAGCGATCACAAGACTTCCATGGAATATTTCATCTGCCTCTCCATACTGGCTGGGTGACAGACTCCCCCCAGGATATCTGCTCTGCTGGCCTTCCCCCTGATTCCTAGAATCCAAAAATCCACCCAGCACTGTGYAAAAAGGACAGGAAAGATCTCTGCCAGGGCCACTGGGGTGGCACAGGTCAGCATGTACCACACTTCCTTGCAGGAACAAGCATTTAATAAAACATTCCTTTCTGCTGAGAGAACAGATTTTGACACAAAAGTGTGGATGGAGCTGTCAGTCACCTGAGACACCCCGTACTCGGACTCAAGCTCATTATCTCCCACTTACATAACCAGCTCTCCCTATTACATCTGCACATATTCCTCTCTTTTAATGAAAACAGGTACTTTGTGCTCCAAATTCCTAAGAGGTGAAGAGGATTTCAGCACCAGCAGTSTTCTCTTACTCCCTTTGACCCGTAACAATGGAATCTTCTCAAATTCTTACGAGTGGAATCCGCTTTCCAGAATATTTTATTTAATTTTCAATAATGCTTCAGGTTATTTTTAAAAGCCTTCAGGTTTTTTTTTTTTTTTCAGGTTATGTGTGAGTTTCCACCAAGAAAAACAACAAAAGAAGTATGAAGGACCTAAAGTCTTAACTGATGCACCCAGTAACCAAAGCAACATGTCAAAACAAGTCAAAATAGAACAAGGAGGCCAACAGGACACTGAAGTCTTCCTGCAATCCCAACAAAAAAAAATATCACACATTCAGTTTTCGAGTGACCTTTGGAAACCTTTAGCCTCTTACACAATTTTTAGCCAGACTGTGACTGGTTCAAGTGGCAATAGTGGCATGGATTTCAAACATTTTATGGCTCTTTACGTACMGCAATAAAATTGAGGATTTGAGAATCGAGGATTTGAAGCCTTTAGAGTCTTGCTGGCCTCATTATTCTTCCAAGTGAAGCCTCCAGAGCTTCACAAAGTGCTGCTCAACACAACAGCACGTGCATGCTCAGCCCATTAACCTGGGAATGTGTTTTATGCCAGCCTGTTGGAATTTATTTCCACATAAAGGGAGAAAAGCCAACCTGAGACCAYGTTAAAAATCTTCGCAGTATGTGAAACCATAATTGGGATGGGTTTTAAGTACTTCTGTCCCAGAGCAGTGACAAAAGAGAGATCGTTAGTTAGTTTGTGAGCTAAGGAGGGGAAGAATTATTATCTCATCTATGTGTATCACTGAGTTTATAGAGAATTACTTCTTTACTGGGATACTACAGTCTGAAAGCGTTCCTTAGAATAGCAACTTCCAGCTAAATGTTGCCAGCAGAAGGCTGGAAAAAGTGTATCTAACCAAAAAAGGAGTGACAAAAAATATTCCAGAGCGGGAATTTTCTCAGGAACACCCGTGGAGGACCAGATTTTTGGCTGCCATAACACAAAACAAAGTTACAGTATGGGGGGACATGTTGAAGACTAAAAAGAGAAAAKAAGAAAGTCTAAAAACAGAGGAACAGGCACAGATAACAAGATGGTATTCAAGGAATTCACACTGTTAAACTGGTCTAGATGGGAGAGAACAGCATCCTGTGAGTTACCAGTGTTGAAATGCCTGCAAATTTACCTCATTTGGGACACTGCAAGGGAATGTCAGGGTGGTATTTGGTAAATGGTGCTGGTAAACACAAAACACGAACCCTGAAGGTATTCAGTACCAGGGGATGTCACACTCTTTGCCCTCAGCTTGGACCAGAAGTCTGCAACCCAAGAGTAATTTGACAAATGTGATCCTTTGCTTGAAAACATTGTTTGAACTGCCTGTAATATTCACAAATGCTTTGAGAGTCTTGAAATAATCAAGGCATGTTGTGCCAAAGGGATTTCAGTTTCTGCCTTATTTTAAAAACYGTTCACAGCAATGAGCGTTATTTAGAATAGCTCAAATTCTTAATTTCTCAATCTGACAGCCATATAAGTTTGTTCCTGCTTGTGATTACACCTGGAAAAGCTTCAGAGCTGTAAAAAAGTTTTTTTGAGAAAAAACAGCAACAAAAATTACGTAAAGAGGCTGTGCAAGGAATTTGRGTTTTCTTCTACAGTAAAGACTGATTTTTGCTTTCACAGGTCCACCTTATTTTCAGGGAAAGTTCAGCTAACCTTCCTAAAACACGGGGCTTAGTTTAAAGCCTTCCAGACCCCAGGCTTAGTTCAAATGTCCTGAGTTTAACAGATACACGCAGTCTGTGTCTGTGTTGGTAAATCAAACAGAGCCTGGGCACGGGCCAGGAAAACTGGGAAAGAATTTTCTTCCCTGCTAAATGCTGCAGCCCAGCAMAGCCAGAGCTTTCCCAGACACATTTGGGGGACAGTGAATGCACCAGGTCTCTGTCTCACCTGCTCCGCTGCCATGAGCTGCTGGGCTCCTCAAGGGTTTGCTGGCACTGAGCTGCTGCCATCAGCATCCTGATGGGAATAATGCATTTACAGAAAGGTGCAAGTTGTGCTCAGGGCTCTGGRACACCCAGATGGATTCACAGTCGTGGCAGGAGGTCGTGCAATTTGCACCAAAGCTCGCCAAGGTGCCCAGCATGAGTGTGGTGGAGTGAATTTGGGTTGAAAATCCCAGCCCGTGCAATTTGGTGACAAAACTCACATCAGCTCAGAACCAGCATTGCCCYGGCCAAATTTACAAAGGGGAGGAACCCAAAACAACAGTGCCACTGATGTTCAGATCAGCTGATTTCCATGTTGGGCATGCAGACTTAGGGATGAGAACCAGCATTACAAGGTCATTTATTTGTGTATTSTGAGGAGAGTCCTGCACACCGTGTGCTGCAGACACAGTGAACACCTCTGGATGAGGCAGTCACGGGTGTTTTAACACAGCAGCCCAAGCTTTGATCTGTGGTCAGCTCTTGCACTCCTTTAACAATCACTTGGGGACAGGCAGATCCTGCTTTCACAATTTAATTAAAAACAAGCCTGGGAGTGCTTTGATTTTTCTTTTTCATTTGCAGGAGGTAGATCAAACAGATAAYGAGCGGAGTTAGTATCTCAAAATATCACAAACTCTAAGGATTTAAAGACACTGCAAAAGAATATTTTTTCAACCATTCAGCGACAGCTTGACCATGTCTAACTGCATGTGCTATCCAGTGCTGCTTCCAAATAGGACCACAGGTTAGTGCAGGTTCAGAACCTGCCTTTTCCTCCTATCATTACAGTTTTCAKATATGAGACCAGCTCGACAAGTAAAGCACCAGAATTCTAAATTCAGACAGAAACAAAAATAATTCCTTGAATCACTTTAGGTTTCTCTTAAAAAAGTATCYGTATTAAAAAGATGTCTTTACCTTATTAATACATTTACAGACTTTTAGCCAGAAGGGGTAACTCTGTGGAAAAGAATTGCAAAATAATACATAGAAAACTGCAAAGATGAAACTCTGAATTTAAAAAGATGAGAGAACCCTATTTTCTTTGCATTCCTTGCTTTGCATCTCATTACCTTTGTCAGCTAGAGAGGACATTACGCTATTCTGGCCACCAGGGCTSATATCCCAGTGGCCTTATCCCAAAATTGGTTTTCATAAGGAAAGCTCCTGYAGCCGGGTTTCTTGTTACAGTTACGCTGCCTCAGCATTGATTTTCTGTGGTGTAAAATTCCCTTCTAGTTCTTCTTCCTAGTTAAAGCTAGAAAGTGTAATGAAAACGTGACCCAACCCAACGGGACCGATTGGCTGAACGYTGTGTGTCCACTATCCCATTGTGGCTCTCCGTGGGCTCGCTCAGGACAGCATCTGCTGGCCACTGGGGACCAGCCTGCCACAGTGAGACAATGTCAAGTGCCCTCTATTGCATGTCTAAAGTTCTCCTACTGCGTTGGTTTAGCTGCTTTTCCTTTACCTCTCCGCTCGGATTTTGTATCTGAGGACGAAATAGGCAATCAGGCGCAGAGAGAAGAAGAAGATCCCGAGAACAATGAAGTCCAGGTAAAGTTTGGCATTTTCTACGTCCAGTTCTCTCAGGATGGCCTCTGATTTTTGAAAATGGCAGGTGTCATCTTTGTCACAATGCAGATCTTCTCGATCCAGCCCGTAGATGGAGAGGATGACTCCTTCGAACCCATATCTGGAAAGAAGAAGGAGGGATTACAGGGAAAATCCTGATGATCTGGTTAGAAATGCAACACAATCCCTGTGAGAGCTCAGCTGAAATGCTGAGGGGTTCAATATTGCTGTGACACATCTGTCTTGGGGCACAGTTCCATCCCTGTTACGATCAGGCCCGTCACGTGTCAYGGGCATTTTATGTAAGAGGGACCAAGGGCAGGAGTTTTGCCTCTGACTGCTTCCAGGCAAAAAAGAAGAACATTCCATCAGAAAGCAGCAWCATTTTGGCTCATATTCAGGAATTCTCCATTTAAAAGTGACATCATTAATTCACTTYTTTCTTTAACAAGCAACAGGGATACAGTTATGGCTTAAAATCAGCATCACTTTAGGACTTCTGTCCCGCCCTCCGTGCACTAATGGTTTCACTGACAATGCTCCCAGCATTTGATTTTGCACGCAGATAAACCATCCTGGATCCCATGCAGGTGGGATATCCCATGCATAGGAAAGCTTTCTCTGGCTTCAGGAGATCCCAAAGGAGCTAGACAATGGTTTAAAGCCCCACCTTGAACTCCAGATATTAATTCAGGGAGTGCAGTCTCGTTTTCTTTGACAGGAATCTGTGTGAGACCTCACTTGGCAACAGAGAGGATTTTTTTTCCTGGGATTTCTCAGGAATAGTGCAGCTTGGGCAGGGTGGGGAAAAGGGGAATGAGAAAATTCATCTTCCCTTATTTCAGCTATAAACAGTTCAGTGTCTAGTCTAAAATACTCCTCCAGAGGTTTCCTGATGGGAATTGTCCCATCTGAACACAGCTGTGCCAAACACAGACATGATGTGAGGTGCCTCTTAGAGCAGAAGTTGAAATCAGAAGTGACACAAATCCCAAATCATGGCAGTGCYGCTGGAAAACTTAAAAACAGGCATTTATCCTACAAATCTATCCAGTGATTCACACGTTTTATTCCAAAATGAGGAGCTGGCATCAATTTTGTGATTGGGGATGTCCCTGTTATTTCAGAAATCCATATTTATACTGCAAAATCCAAGATTTTCAGTGCAATCCCACTGAACTCAAAGGGACTGACATGGACTCATGGCCAGTAACCTKCTCCTGTTTATTTCACAGCACACACAACTTAAAATGCACTGAGATAATGTGGTTTACACCACTCTGGTGTTTATACTCCGAAAGAACTCRCTGTGAACAGTCTCTTTGGCACCTAAAATAACCAGGCAACCACCCAAGCAAAGGCAAACAAACAGCATTTTTGGCTGAAGGCCTCCCTGGCAGTACCTGACATAGGAAATGTAGGACATCCACTGGAGGTATGTTGGGATGGTGTCAAAGCTGACAAAAAACCCAGAGAACAGCAGGACTGGGATGGCAGTGACAGGGCCCACGAAAGTTGCCACCTGTGAGGAGAAGGAATAGACAGTCTCTTGTCAGCAACACAGAGAAAAAGTGAAAATCAGTTTGCTCTTCTATTATTCTTGGGAGTTATTCTACTCCCCCAAATTATACAGTTTTAAATACTGGAAAATCACCAATTTTTTTTTTTTTAATGAGATTTCTTGTGAGGGGCAGAGCAGAAGCACAGGGGTGACACAGGAACACTATGCTGGTCTCCACAGGGTGGCACAGAGAGGGAATCGAATTTTCTTCTGCGGAAATCTTGACAGCACCAATGCATTCTGAGATCAGAATCATTTGTTCTGCAGTGGAATTGTCACCTCAGCACATCTCCTGCCAGTAGTCACATGGCCATCTTCCAGTCATGCCAACAGCTGCCTTTCTCCCTCCCTTTGCAGAAGTTTGGGTTTTGGGCAGCCTTTTCCCATATTTCCTTCTGCTTGCATGGAAGAAGCTTCTCCCGAGCTACTGTGGCCACCCTTTGGTTTGCAGGGACACAGAAATGCATCAGAAATGCATCAGAAATGCATCAGTCCTGCAGCTGCCAGGACCTGCTCAGCCTGGCACGGACAGCAGTGACAATCCACTCAGGCAGGGGCAGGCACAGCCCCTTTAGGAGGGGCAGGAATTCCAGAGCTTCCCATCCAGGGCACATCTGTGCTCTTTGCAGTGATGGGAGMGGGGACATCAACATCGTCAGGGCAAGACAACGTCCTGTGGGTCACTTTGGGGACACAGCAGCAGCGACAGAGAGCAGGGGTAGAAGACAGCAGGACTCCTGTGAGTGCAGGAAACACCATCAGTACCTGGAGGGATGTAGAGGCTGCCCCGATGAGCAGACCCAGTGACTGGGCCACCAGCGATGTCATGGTCCCCAGGGCCGCGAAGAGGACGAAGCGCAGAGCGTCGGAGGGCTGGGAAGTCATCCAGTAGACGATGCTGCAGTAAGCCACAGGGAACATGATCTGCAAGGACAGGCACTGGGAGTCACCCCCAAACAGCCAAACATTCACTCTGGGTCAGATAAAAACCTGTGGATCTAATAATCCCCAGCTCTCAGCCTTTCCATYGGATGACAGGCGTGTGACACCTGTGCTTCTGCCTGGGCACTGAAAACAGATTCCACYCCCATCCCTTCACAATTCCCCTTCTGCAAATAAGCACAGCTGATCACTTGTTTATTGAAAGCATATTAGGTCAGGTCTCAGCTTTTGTGAGGCCCTGCATTCTCAGGGTGCTTCCGATTGGGCCCTGAACCCTCAGCAGACACACATAGGTGGTTTYTCTGCTATTCCAATGGGTAAAATACCAGTACTAGTCTCGTTGGCAAGTGTCATTCATGAGTTTAAATGGGTTTTATTTCATTGAGGAGTAGAGCACATACCTGGAAAGGAACATCAGCCATGGTTTTGGCGAGGTAATAGGCTTTGAGGCTGTACCAGTAGTTCAGGTGCTCTCTGAGAAACACTCCCATCTCCAGGGGAACTGCAGAGAACACAGCTTGTTAAATCAGATTGTCAGGGGGCAATAACAACACAGTTCATCCGTATCTAATCCTGCACTGCTGCACTTCCATGGTGGGACTGGAATTCTCAGGTGTTTGATGGAGCAGCCAAAGTTTCAGTGATTTGTAATGAAATTCAAGAGGTCAGCCCCAAAAGCTGCTCACTGTTCAGATTGTGGACCAGACTACTCAGATGACCTGAACCTCCCTTAAAGGRGAGTTTTCAATTAAAACTGGTGACAAAACTGAAGTAACAGCATTMCCAAAGGAAATATGAAGCAGTCCATTAGGCAGGAGTTTGCTTCTGACACCACATGAATAAGCTGATTTTATGCAGAATCACAACCTGGAATCCCCAGGGCAATTATTCCAAACTCCATAGCTCCAACCACAAGATCAGGGCATGGCTGAGATGCACTGGGATGAGCAGAAATTCCAGTCCAGGGCTGCAACACCGAACTGCCTGAGCTGAGAAACTCTGGAAAAACTGGGGAAGGAGAAATGCCCCAGGCTGAGCCTCAACCCAGCAGTGCAGCCACAGGGGCAGATTCATGAAGCACAAATCAAACCTTACCTGGCACTAAACAGACCCACCCCAGCCCCCTCCCACCTTCCTGCAGCCCCTCCCCGTGCTGGGACAGTGCCAGGCACTCACAGGTGAGSACTGTCGGCATCAGCGCGGCGAACATGAGGAACAGCATGGAGAAAAACAGGAATCCCGAGTTGCTGAGGACTTTCTTGGCCTCGTTGCCAATGCCCAAGTAGAGCAAGCCGATGAGCAGCCCRATGCCGATGTGGGAGGTGATCCGCAAGTGCGTCAGGACCTGCGGTGGGCAAGGAGGGGAGTTTGTGGTCAGAAACAGCAGCAACGTGGCTGGAGCCAGACAAAAATTGCAGAAAAGGACACTGCTGTCCAGAAGAACTTATACAGAAGTCAGTGAATTTGGGTTGGAAGGGGCCTTAAAGATCATCCAGTTCCAACCCCCTGCCATGGGAGGTGCTCATTTCCTAATGGCAAACTTCAGCTAAAAAAAAAGATGAGCTTCCCAGTTTCAATAAGACACATGGAAACTTCTTCCAGGTAATATAGGAAGAAACTAAAAATGCTGCAGCCTGAAACCTCTCTGTCTGACCATGTCATGGAGCCACTGGCTCTTATTCGTCAGGGGAAGGAGACTTTCTCTCCGAGTAAAAGATAAATTTCCCCAGAGCAGAAGAGAAGCAGAAAAGGCATTTCAGGCTTGTATAGACCAAAGTGACTTCATCAGGCATAAATTAGCTTTCTGTGCCTTCTCTGCAACACAGAATTCCCACAAGAGGCTGGGAAGAACAGAACAAATAATAACATTGGAAACAACTGCAAGCCTTCAGAGTTGAGCAGGAAAAAAAAAACAACTTAAAACCAACACTGTTCTTCAATCTGTGCATCAGAAAATCAGATATTGYTTCCCCTGATCTTAATTCATTAACATAATTAATCCTTGTTGACAAATGCACTTGCAAAAGGCAGCAAGGGAAAACAAGTTATGGCAAAGAAGCAAACGTTTTCTCTACCAATTTTCTGTTTCCAAAAATGAAGACTTTAAGTCTTAACTTTACATCACATTGAAATTAGTATCTCTGCCATCCCGAATTTTCTGGRAAACCTAATTTTGTGCAACTTCTCACTCACTTTTCAGTAGGACTAATAACTGTATAAAGGATCTGCCAGCACAGAGGGGATTAAAACTTAAGGTTTTTAGGCCAGGTCCTTCTGAGCACTGTGCAGAGAGCTGCCGTTCACAATGAGGATGGTACAGCGAACAGCAAGACTGAAAGATYAGCCTCTTCCCTTGGAAATTCTGTGCTAATCCTCCTGGAGGGCTGTTGGACAGGACCTTTGAGGTGTGTTACACACCCCGCTGAACAGAGCTTTTGGCTGCAAAAGCTGTTACAAAGCCGTTCTTACCGAGTCCCTCATGATGGTGAGGAAAGTTCTTTTGAAGAGGATGCAGAACTGGGTTAGGCAGCTGGCAGAGAAGCTGTGGCAGCCTTCTGTGGAGGAGGAGTCCTGCAGAAACACATCACCACGGAATAAACCCCTTTCTTTGCAGCACCTCACTCAGTTTTCATTCACAAAAGCCRGCTTGCATCAGCTGAGTGTGCCCAGACTCTTCCAGTGATGGAGGACTGGAATCCCCTCCCTCCCCTGCAGCCCCAAGCCTTGCCCAGAGCTCAGATGCACAAATACCTCCTCAGAGGGYCGGTGCCACAGGAAGGGGTTCATCTCGTGCTCCCCACCCACGTCTCTCTTGTAATCCGTGTCGCAGATCCTCTCCCGCACGGCCCTGACCAGGCGGCCGTTCTGGTCACCGTACTCGCCAGAGGCCACTTCCATAACTGCAAACAGAGGCTTTCATTACTGCTTGGTTCTGCTAACAAAGGTGAAAGCCTTGGTATCAAATCCCCTTGGYATCAAACCCCCTTGGTATCAAATCCCCTTGGTATYAAATCCCTCTGGTGTCAAATCCCCTTGGTGCTGCAGCACTGAACAAAACCAGGATTTTTTTTGGTGCAGGCTTTCAAATGCCACGTGCAAATCCTTATCCATRCAAACAAAATTTAAATGTATCTTTCTATAAATCTTCCGAGAGATCTCTTCGTCCTGGAAGTTAATGAGCCATCTTAGAAGAAAGGCAGTGAATACTGGTAAGAAAAAAATGACAGAACTCTATTTTTGTGGCACTTACTGCTTCTTTGGAACTACGAAACAACACTGAGAAAAGCTCAATGCTCTTATCTGTGCAATAACACGTTGGTACTGCTCGATTTAAAAAAAAAAAAAAATGCTGGATCCACTTTAACTATTATTAATTGCTATGAAACACTAAAGAATATTTCAAACACTAAAGAAATGCTTTATCTTTCATTTCCTGAACCTGGATTTCCATGAGAGAAATACTCAYTGAATTGCACCACTAGATGGCAATCAATTTACTCAGGAAAAGAGAATCTAATTAATTTCATTTTGAATTTTGGTTCATATATGAACACATAAGCATAAGAATGTATGCACAAAAGTATAAACCACACCATGGTCAACACTACCCTGAGGGTGCTGATGAAATACAAAATAAATGAAATAAATTATTCRGGTTGTCCTTACCAAAATCTGCTGGGTTGTGGTAGGTTGGGCAATTCAACCCCAAATCTCTCAAGTAAGGGACAAGGTTTGTTACCTTCCCACGGTAAATGCATTGACCTTGACT